AAATATAAAAAAAATGCAAAGAGAATGCTAACAGAAGCTTGTAGCGATGAGTTAGAAATTTTATATTGCATGGGCAATGCCCTAGATCAGCGGTTCTCAACCTGTGGGTCGTGACCCCTTTGGAGGTGCAACGACTTTCACAGGAAATAAAAAATATATTAAAATAAAATAAAATAAATAAAAAAAATGCAAAGAGAATGCTAACAGAAGCTTGTAGCGATGAGTTAGAAATTTTATATTGCATGGGCAATGCCCTAGATCAGCGGTTCTCAACCTGTGGGTCGTGACCCCTTTGGCGGTGCAACGACCCTTTCACAGGGGTCGCCTAAGACCATTCTGCATATCAGATATTACATGACGATTCGTAACGGTAGCAACATTACAGTTATGAAGTAGCAACGAAAATAATTTTATGGTTGGGTTACAACATGAGGAACTGTATTTAAAGGGCCAGAAGGTTGAGAACCACTGCTCTAGATGAATATGATTTACCAAAACAAACTAAAATATAACTAGAACACTTGAAATACATTTAAATGATTTCTTTAATCATTAAAGGAACTAAATCAATATGAAAAATCTGTACCCAAGACATATGTATGCACACACACACATCTTAGCTCTGTCCACTGAGATGTTGTAAAAGCAATGAGCATAATTAGTGCATAGGTCCTCCCTTGGAGAAAAGGCTAATTCCACAGAGTACAAAATTAACCTGAATGATAGGAACATGTCAAAAGGACAGCTTGTGAAATAAAAACCAATAGAACTCAAAGGAGAAATAGACAATTTCACAATTCTACTTGTGGACTTCAACACCTCCCTCTCAACAATTGATAGAATGCCTAGACAGAACGTTGGCAAAGATATGACTTCAAAAATACAACTAAAAGACGGAACGGACATCGCCCAGAACCACAGGAAGACTGGCTGAGGGGAAATTCTTCAACTAGAAGGAAAGAGAACAGCATACGAGACTCAGAGGAGGCGCAGTGCGGAAAATACAAAGGTGCGGAGGTAGGCGCGGAGCGGGCTGGTAGCTGAGGGCGCAGTTGTCGTTTTCAATCGGGAGGGAGGCTCAGGCCCTGAGCTCCAGTTCTGGGCGAGTTTCTGGGGACCCAGACTCATACGGGAGAAACTGGACTGTCTGGCATCGGTCGGAACTTGAGGGCAGCTTTCTCTCGGCGGGGCTTGCAGTGATTGCCGGGA